CCTTTTATACCAGCCTATTTTTCTCCTTCTAATGTTCACTTATTTTATCTCATAGAATGGCAGTGCTAGGCTACAGTCACAACAAGGAATGTCATGGGCAGACACAGACAAAAAGAAGCTGCCAATCTTTTCTAGGTAGTAATCTGTCTGAATTAGATTTTGTAGCTGATACTGTTGCAGGAAAACCTAGGCTGATATTAGAGATGCTCAAAACTTCTGTAAGGAACTTTAAATCTCAGAGATTCAGAAACCTATTGGAATACTTTTACTTTCCTCAGGCTTCAAGAGACCTATGCATGTTTGAAGCTAGGCAAAATTCATATTTAGCAATGAGCAGAGCAATACAGTTATTTCAACCAATATATGTTTTGGCATTGGTCATACCCCATGCTTACAGCAGCAGTTCTGGGTATCATGCCACAGCTATTAAAACAGTCCCAAAATTAATGGTGCTCTCCGTGAGCTGACACATCTACATTTTCCTCAGTGATGTCTAAGACTTTCATCTATAGCAGCGTTTCTTTTCTTAAAACTACTCTCTTCAGTCAATTTTGATTTCAGGAGTATATTCATCTCCATTTTCATGCATCTTTATCTCAGCTACTCACCCTTAGCTTCCTTTACAGTCAGTGAAGCCTAACAGGCACTTCCAAGGTGCAGCTCAATCTTGTTTAGCTTCTTACATTAGTCTGAGGTTAATCATGCCCTAGACTTGTTCTTAATATATAAGGAAACCAACTCAGAGGCAGAAGTCTACACTGTAAAAATTTGTATCAGCTGAGTCCTGCTCCATTTGATTGCCAAGAAAGTCTACATAGCTGGGAAAATTTCAAGATGACGTAACATTTTTTAATACAAAATCCATCACATTTGAAAATTTCATTTTCCTTATAAATCTAAAGAAAACACTGATGGTTGTTTATCTAAACATTGTGCAAAGCAATTGGTTTTCTTGTTTCTAATTATTCAGATCTGAATTATTAGGAAAGCAGATTCTTATTGAAAGAAAGTATAATTGATGCCGCAGAAAGCTTCTGCTCTTAGCTTCATCCTATTAGAACCTTTGCTTTCTAAAATCATCATGAAAATTATAGTGGCCTTTGAAAGGAAGAATTCTTGCAAAGCATCCCCCAGTGCTTTTTAAAACAAAAGGCAAGGAGAACCTCAGAAAAAAAGCAAGGTTAAGATCCAACTGGCCAGCATGGACTGGGATTTAGTTTCAACTGTCAGATGAAAAGGGCAGGACTTGTTTATTCAGTCCACCCCTTGGTTAAGCAGCAGCATGACAATTGCTGCGAAGGAACAAACTTTATTATTATCTTGTGTAATAGCATTTACTATTAATTTATTATTGTCTCATATAGATGCAGGTTGGAATAGTTCATCTGCGATGTTTTAGTCTTGGAGGGAAGGATGGGAGGATGGAAAGGCTGTGCGTCGTGACTGCATAAATGCCTCTTTGGCTGGTTAATGGAGCAGCAGAAGCGCTTGGCACAGAAGCAGCAGTGAGCTTCACCTTCTCAGCTGGAGGAGCAGCCCACAACCACTGCCTTCACGGGGCACAGCGGCCTATTAAAGGAATAAAGACAAAAGTGTGTTTGATTTCCAGAATGGAGGGGCAGGAACTTCTCCTGATCCTGTCAAGGCTTTACAGATCTTAATGGGTCTGCCACAGAGAAAAACTCTGCTTGAGCAGCAGAGGGGTGCTGCTCCTGAGGGACGAGTTCAAAAATACCAGCTCAGAAACATTAATAAAAACATTTCCCAGTGTTTCTTCATCAAAGCATAAAAGAAACAGCGTACTGCAGAGCACACTGGCAAAATCTGTGCACTTCTACCATAAAATACACGTAGGCTCATTTCTATAAACTAGTAACTGAGTTTCTTGTAGAGTGGATGAATCTGTTGCAGTAACTAGTTTCTGGTATAAGATCCCCTAAAGAGGGCTTAATGCTTATTTCTAATCTCCTGGAAGGTTGTACAAATGAAAAACAATGAGGTTAATCACCAAGGAAAATCACTAATGAAGAAATACATCTTTTCTTAAATATTAATTATAATTCATTTTTTCCCATCACAGAATTTACATGGTTCTCATGAATCAAGGATTAATTCAAAGGTTTATATTTATGCTCTGCTGTGAATAGATTCCTTCTCAGTGGAGAGTGAATGAATTTATTTTGTACCAGCTTTCTGCTTGAAAAGAAAATCCTTCATAAAAGAATTGGCAATCTTTGCCAGAGAAATCCAGACCAAGTAAAGCATTTCATTGTTCAGGGTGCTAGATCCTAAGAAGTTCTGCATTTAAATGCTTATATTTTTTTCCCATCTGATCAGTAGTAGCATAGCAGGTTATGCACTTAAATGGATGACACTTGTTTGGGAGGAAGATATTTGCTGAAGAAAGGCAGCATGTTCCATAGTCTTAGTATAACATCTGTTATCATTCAGTGCTGCTCTTAGCCCAGCATGCCCTTCCTCTAAATATCTTATTAATTAAACTGGCTTAGTAGGAAAATAATTAATACTATAAGTCCTGTACCTACTTAGAAAGGATTTAGAAACTGAAAAAATTGGTATTGTCTGAGCTTCAACTCGAGGGTTGTGGGTTTTTCATTCTTGAACACAAGTGGATTACAATAGGAAGTATCTAAGAAATCTACATATATACAGTTTTCCAAATATATATATTCTATCTTTGAAATTCTGTGACTGCAGAAATAGTCCACTACTTTGGAAAGTCTTGGTTACTGCTGAAGGGTCTTCCTCAGTAACTGGTTTGGAAGAGATGCTCCTGCATTTCTTCTAAATGTCCTGATAGCCCTTTTTAGCACCTGATTCCCCAAAAGCCTTAACACCAGTCTGCAAATTTACTGTGTTTCTTACCAGTACTGTGATAATGTGGTGGGACCTCCTAGCCATGAAATCGGTCATAATTCTGTTACCTTGCATAACCAGATCTTGACTGGGCAGGAGGGTGAAACAGGGCACCCAGATGGATGTGCATGTAAAACGTGAACCTGTTACTTTGCTATGTGTGATCAAGTGCAGAAATAGAATTTGCCTGTATCTTTGTTCTCTGGGCAGTGGGCAGTGCTGCTGTCTATGTGAAGAAACTGCTGCTTTGCTGCTGATTCACCCAGCTTCATTTCCCGCTGAGAAGCAGGTTCAGTTTGCTACTTATTCCAATAGAAAATTACACTTTTTGAGACCTATTGGAAAAGGTGCTGTGTGCCACTGAATTGCTCTTTAAACTCAGTCAGAGTTTTAACAATTTCTTTGGTGGGAGAAGGCTCAGGAATTAGCAGCAGCTTGTTCGGGCTTTTCTTGGAAGGTCTGAGAACAGCTATTCTTAAGGAGGAAAAGGAAAAAGCTTTAAATGCTATACCAGACCAAGACCCTTTCAGCACAGGGAAAAGGCAGCTTGGGAGGCAGTCTGCAGTGTGTCTCCAGAGTTTTATCATTGGGCCTTTCTTTTCAAAGCATATTGGAAGCTTAGAAATCAGTATTTCATTGCAAGTCAGTTGAGGTGCCTAAAGCATTTCTTCAGGTGGGTTAAAGCCACTCTGGAAAATGCTGTGACTGTTACCTTAACAACCTCCAAAATCAAACTGCACCATGTGGCAAGTTAATGGGTATGGGGTCTTGTGCTTCAGAAAAGGGACTTACCTTCTGATCCACACTGAAGTTCTGAGAGTGTGTCTCTCCCTGGGGAGACCAGGGAGCTTCTGACTGTACATATTGGCCATCTTCGTCCCAAAGAATATGTGTTCAAAACTGATTTAAAAAACAGGGACGCCTGTGTTTATCCTTTGGAGAAGAGTGAAGCAGAGCTGGCCTTGTTCATACTGAGCCCAAAGTATCTGGCAGCAAGTTGCAATGAGCACAGTGTGCAGGTGTATGCCTAGCTAATTCACCAGATACATGTGTCCCTGAGGGAGCAACACACAGCAGCACCAAGAAAGGTTGCACCCTCCTGTTTTCAGGGGAGTAGAGAGGGTTTCCAAGCCTCTTTTGCTTTAAATCTGCCTTGGACAGGCTGAGGATTCTAAGTCCCAGTTCATTTGTGTGTGCATGCATCAGTGCTGGGTCTGATAGAGGAGCATATGGCAGAAGCCATTTGCCCTTGACTGTGTCTCTTTTTTGGCAGGCACAGGCTTGTTTCTCACAGAGCAGGTTCAGTCACAGCCACTCCTTCACATCACTCCTTGAGCCCTCAGCTTGCCAGCTTTCAGCTCTTTGCCTGTGTGCGTGTCCTTTGTGGTGTTTTGGTTAATTGGACATTGTTTTAATTACTACTGCGCTAAAGAAACATGTATTTTCTATCTGTCGTTTTGCTGCCTCAGTGACCGTGGTCTCCAAGCAGCCAATACAGAGCTCAAGCTGTTCAGATCTGATGTAAATTGCAGTGGCTCTCTTGGAGTTTCCCTCCTTTACATCTCTTTGGGGGAAAACACCCCTCCAGGGAAGAGAAGGCTCTATTAAACAGCTCATTTTTTGCACTGTCCCAAACACCTTGATCTGCCCTCACTGGAGCAAGTGGCAGAGAAGCCTTGGCTTGCATTCTCTTCCACAGCCTGAACGCAGTCCATGGCCATATTCTGTGGCCACATCTTTCCTCAGTTTGCGCCATTATGTTGCCTTCTTTCTTACCTTTCCCTCTCCAACTTCTGCACGAATTTAGGGTTTTTTCCCCTTTGCTGTCTCTAATTCTCCACAGAAATCAGAAATGTTTGGCTTTTGTGTCTAAATCAAGCAGTGGGTATGCAGACATGCCCTCAAAGCAGTCAGTCTACCACCATTCCCGTCAATAACAGCCACACTACCGTAGCAGACAGATTCTCTGGACTATCAGTAGCCTTTATTTCAAGATGCTAAACTGCCACTGGCATGAAGAGGAGAAAGAGCATTTTCTAAGTGCTTTTAAGAGGCATAGAGCCTTTTAAAACAAAAATTTCCCTTCTTTTCTCTTTATATTGACCCTTATCCTTTGCTTACAGCTTTGGAAAGAAAAATGTCAATGAGACAAAGCAGAGAGGAGCTTATAAAACGGGGAGTGCTGAAAGAAATTTTTGATAAAGGTAAGTGTTCTTCTTTTCACAACAGTAAAATGACATCCCATATAGTTTTATGAGTACACACTGCATAATTGTAACACTAGGAACCGGTAATAGAGTTCTGAATTGCAAGACTATGCAAAATAAGATCTCTAAACACTACTCTTGACTTTGCCGTGGTCTGGCCCTCTCTGATGGATACATGTGATAGTTACTTAGCAAATAAAAATGAAAACTTATCAGAAATGTAAAGCAATACAAATAAAAATCACAGCAATAGGCAGTAGTCACTGACTGCAAAGCATCCAGACTGTGGAGAAATGTAGTGGGTTTGTGCCTCTGTGTGTTGTTATTGTCTGGTTGAGTCACTTTGGGATTAACTGCTGTGGAAAAGGAAAACATCTAAAAGATTTTGGATCCTGATGAGCACAGAACAATGTACTTTCCCTTGAAACAACTCAGAAGAGATAATAATTCCTTCTTCAGGATAATTAATTTGTTGCGTGTGTAATGTCTTCTTTATGCAAAATGCCATTGTTTTACAAACATCATTGTTTTACACTGGTAACACAATACATAATTGACATCTGTTATGTATATGTCAGTCTTTGAGTGCATCTTTCATTTGTTTTGCTACTTCCTTTGGCAATACCTAAGGCAATTAATTCAACAAATTATATAAAGACATAATAAAGTTACTTCTTAATCACAGTAGAACTTATGCATATTCTTTAAAGCCTCATTAATTTGAAGTCTAAAAGTTTTTGACAATAGCAGTACAAAATATGGTAGAAATCAATAGAACTTGGAAACTTTCACAGATATTAGAAGTGTAGCCTACTTCATAAATCCATTTAAATCTGCTACCTACTTTTTACTCTAGCTTATTAGGAATTTAAAAATTTACTAACCCAGGCTGCTAATTTTTTTTAAGTTAAAAACAAACAACAGCAAAAATGTGCTTATTGTTAAATTTTACAGTTTCTACCAGTTATGTGTTGTTGTGTGCTCTCACTGTGACCTGCTGGCATAGAAATCATCCTAGATGCAACTTCAGAGTAAAAACAACTCCTGTCAATAGGTTTACCCTTCTCACTGCTTTGTGCTGTATGCATTTTGTAGTGTGGGCATAGAATGGTCCTGCAGCCAGTGAGGTGTGGTCCAGGCTGTCTCACCTTGTGATCAGTGCCTCATCCAGCTCAGAAGGCAGCCTTCAGTCATACCTCTGTCCCAGGTGTGACCTCCTTCATCCCTGCCTCACATCCCACACGTAGCCACCCTCTGAACCATCCCTACATAAACCTAAAGGCCTCCCCAGGAAAAATCTTTTCTGTGAAGTCTGACTCTGGCTTCCATGTTGAAACTTGGGAAGATTCCCCTTGTATTGCTATCAAAGCACCACACTTTTTTCTATTGATCAAATAATGATGTAGCTTGTAAACTTCTGGGTCATCTTGTAAAGCAGATTCTAAGTTGTCTGGAGATATCTGAAAGAAAGAAATTAATTCCTCCTTATAGTAATTTTTCACCTTTACAAAGCCAATATGAAAAGAAAGAGGTAGGGCAGAGAAGAAAGTGGTAATACACAAGAATAGCAGCAGTACTCAAACAGCTATGATGATAAACAGATATGAACAAGGCAAGATGTATAGCAAAAATATTATTTCCTTCAGTGGTGAATAATCTGAGACTAATACTAACCTTAAGTGGAAGTAACATTTTCTCTGTAAGTCCTGTTACATAACCTCTAAGCCTTCAAGAAAACAACAGACCTTTAGCATTTCCTAGAAGAACACTTTATTTGATTGTGGTAGCACCTTCCATGCCAAGAGGCATCTTGCACAGACAGTAGGTGTAAATCTCTTTGTCTCCCTTTCCAAAGACGTGGGCAAAGCAGGCCTGTGAGTAATTTTGGCTTTTTCTTTCTTTAAAAACCCATACTAATCAAAGGAAACAGTGCAAACAGACTGACCCAAGAACAAGATTTTTTGCCTTGTGCTTAGTGTTGGTTTTGTCATATCTTCTATGTTGAAGAAAAGCATAATTAGCTGATTTGTTTGCCTGCTGTTAAAAATGTTGCTCTGACCTGTTGCTTCAGAATTTTCTGGCTTTTCAGAGGACTTGGTGTCACCCAGCAGGTGAAAATTATTAGAGTGCAGTAAGTCACAGTAGTCACACATAGGAGAGTCGCCGCAGTCCAGCTGCTGTATTTGGAAAACAAGAATTGCTGTTGTCATTTCATTGACCCCCCACACTTAAATTAGTCACATGAAGCTGCTCCTGACTGAACTGCAGAGAGCTCTTTCCTTGCTAAGGACCAAACTCATGACAGAATCTGTTTCTGTTATCTTCCATTTCCAGGGCTCTGTGACTTGAGTATTCTGAAAATGTAGGCAAAGGTTATAATTTTTTCAAATACTCTGTACTTTTGGAAAATAGTAAGTTGAAGAATTATCTGATGAAGCTCCTGCTGTTCTAATAGTTTGTGGACAGATAGTGCTGAGAGGTTAAAAATACCTCTTCCACCTGCATCACAGAACATACCTCAATATTTAGAAGAACTCATATTTTTGCTATGTCATTGCTCCTGCACATAGGTACAGACCTTGATTTTCACATGAAGGTGTAACTGTCCCAGAAATGTCTGTTGTTAGAATTTCCCACTGTTTCATGCTGCTGGTCAAAGAACTAAATCTACTTGTAGTATTTTGATACCTCTTCGTCTTTCTGAATGTAGATGAGATTGCCTGTAGTGAGAAATTCCTGAATGTGAGTGTGTACCACTTACTTACTCTAAAGGCAATGGTGCAATGGTTTTTCAAGGAAACATGGGCAGTCTTCATCTTTTCTATTCTTGTATTTTAATATTCTCTATCTAATTAAAATGATGGATTTAGACTTAAATTTCAGGTAACCTAAGTCCTGACAGGATTTGGACACGTTGCACTTATGCACTAAAGCAGATTTTGTGACAGTATGTGAGGAAAACGTGAAGAAGTGGCTTTGGTAATGCAGCAAGGAGGAAGACATGGCAGCCACTGGAGAGCCAGTTGTGCTGCAGTGAAATTGAAAAATTTTGAACTCCTCCAGAAGCAGCCTGTCTCAAGCTCCATGGGATCCCACAAAATCAGGGTCTGCTTAGGGACTGAGGTTGTGGAGGATCCCAGCTACTGTGCTAAGGTAGCCACCAAGGCTAGGAAATAGTTCCAGGGACAGGTCTTGACCACATGCAAGAACACTCAGTTTTCCATTCCCCACCCTTGGAGTCATGTCAGAGAATGACAATGAATTTTACTCTGTCATTCCTGGTCTGGTCTTTGCCATCAAGAATTCCTTGCTTGAACAGTCTACTTGAGAGCAGACAAGTACTGAAGGAGACAACTCAATTCAAAAATTAACCTCATGATTTCAAATTGTCCATTTTGACTTCCATAGCCATTATTCTGTAGAAGGAATGCATGAGCATGGCAGTTTTCAGGTATGCATAAAGTCCAAGGTATTCAGAGTTAAAAGACACAGCGAGAGGGTAGGCAGAGCTACAACACTGGAAACACAACAGGACTGGTTTCAGTCAGTGTGATGCACAATGAGCTGCTACACACCAGGCAATGTTTTAGAAGTGCCTGAGTGTGGAAATTGCAGGTATGTTCAGGAGTACAGACCATGCTCAGGAGCCACAGGTTTTGAACACATCATCTATGTATCTCTAGGCCTTCATCCCATGCTGCTGTTTTTGCATGCTGAGGTTAATCAAAGAGTCTGGGTAGAGTCCTCTGCATCAGAGAGTTTCCTCTTAGGTCCCATTTCTTCAGTGACTTCAGGTGTGCAGAGTCTCCTGAGTAAGAGAAGAGCAGCCTTCATGTGCTCTCTTGTTGCAGAGGTCAAGCTATTCCCTCATGGACCCGTCCAGCTTCACGCTCAGCTGATGTTACTAAAGCTCATGGACTTAGGGGAAGTCATTCTCCCCTAAGTAGCACCAGACTGTGAAAATAGCAAAGGATTTAGCAAGTCTGAGAACAAAAGATTACATGTGTTATCACTGTGCAAAATTAACTTTAAACTCATAGCCAGTTCCTGAAAACATCCTTGTATATGCAATAATTGCATTACCAGGATTATTTTCATTTGTATGTCAGCCAACTAGAATAGCTTTAATATTTTGAAAATAATCAGTAATTTGCCTTTTATATCTGGTTGTCAAGCATATCTCTGATGCAGGATTAATTCACATTAAGATACTCTTTCCTCCGCAAATTATTTTTTCCCCATCTTTGATCTGTTTGCTGTACTTAAGCAACTCCCCGTGTAGCTCTTCTTTAAGCAATACCTGATTTAGGATGTATATTTCAGTCATGATTCTGTGCCATGTCTGGTGATTTCATTCAAATCCAAGGACAAGCTTTAGACTCTAAATCAAGATTAAAGATATCAGATGCAAGATTTAAAAAGGTTATACTGTCAGTACAAGAAAGCTGCCATGCTTTAGTATTATGACAAAAGATAAAAGCTAGGATTTTATCTTACATTTTACTTTTTTTGCACTTGTAAGTCTTCGTGGGTCATTCAAATGCTGTTTTTCTAAATCATGCTAATATACCTTGAGAAGCACATAACACACTTAAGACAGTAGGATTTCAAGATGCTCAGCATGTTACAGTAGGCATCTCACTTCATGAAGAATGTGCAGTCATCCCTTCAAAAAGCAAACATTACTGGGTTTGTCATGCATACTTTTCTCATAGTTACAGTCAAATTTAGTCTAAATTAATGAATACATTGCTGGGCATAGTCACTGCCTTTCATTCAAGAAGCAGATGCTCTACATAAGAAACAGTTAGGCTCTTTCATGAAACCAGGTAACTGAGAGAACATCAGTCCTTATCCCAAACACATATAAACGTGTGTATCTTTATAAAAGGGAGACAGAGCCAGCACAGAACCCACAGCATTTCTACTCAAACAGCTAAGTCCAAAAATGATCAGCTTAAATACTGGCTGAATTGATTTTTGATTTTTGCTATCTAGGGAAGTAAACAGCTTTGTATAGAACAGCCACAGCAGTTAGAAAGGAGGCTGTGCCGCAAACACCAAAGCCATTAGCTTTAATTCATGTTGCCACCTTTTAGCCAGCACAGTTGATTTCTCAAAGCCACAGGTCAGGTTTCAGTCTAGTATGATGTCACTGCATTACCATAATAGCTCTCTGGGTCTCCAAAAAGCCTCCAGCAAAACCAAGAAAGTCAAGACCTTGGTATTTATAATAATTCCAAAATAAACAGAAGACCATCTTCACTTGCTGTAGAGAAGCTTTAAATGGCAGAAACGTAATTCTGAATAGTTATCAGCTAATGTATTTTCAGGCTTGTTAATTGCTGCATACTAGCACCAAAATTAGACTTTTTTCTCTTTTCAGTATTGTTTCCAAAGTGGTTTGTACATCTTAGCCCTATGAGGGGAAAATGTGCACTCATTTGGCTGATATACATCTCCACTCAGTACGTTGAGCGGTAATATGGCTAATCAGTGGTGTTCAAAAATCTAAAACCATATTCTGAAATCCTGAGTTTCATTTTTAGAAGTAATTTAAATGCTTACTAAAAGCAAAATCCGCATATTTGCCTGCTGGTTTTTAGTTTTACAGGTCACATTTCAGTTATATTTTCAGGCTTCCATTTGTAACCATAGGGGCTGAACACTTTGCTTTATAAAACTCTAATTGTGATGTCCATGTAGTCATTGCCTCTAGGTACCAGGGTGCTGTGCTTAACAAGTTCAGAGATAAAAATCATGCAGGTTGACACTATAGAGAATAGTCTGAATCCTTTCTTCTGCTCTTTATTATTTTGAATGTGAAGGGGTGTTTGATAGGAAGGAAAATGCCAGCTGCTGTCACAGAAATTTTGCTCAGATAGAGGAGATATTATTAGTAACTATAAAAACAGGCTTTCTAAATGGAATCTGATATATCCCAGTATCAAGACCTTACATCAGGCAACTATAAAAATTATTCTCTTCCTTACCTAAAATGCAGTTATTTGTATGTAAAATAGGGACATACCCCTGTGATTTTGCTCGTGTCCCTTATAGCGTAAAAGTTGGTGTAGGGAAAAATAATAATTGTTGTTATTAATATTAAAATATTATATAAAGTATGTATTAACATTCCTTAGTTCCAGCCTACTATCATCCCTGACTTGCCAGATTCAACTGAGAGAGGGAAAACAGATTTTTTGTTTTGTGTTGGATGGGACTGTATTGTCCACATGAATCAAGGATGGTCAGGAATCAACCAACTTAGACCACGGTTCATAATGACCATTCCAGAGTAGAGCAAAAGATCAATACATATATTTGACATAAATTATATGTTACCCCAGAGGTGCTAGCACCATCACATATCAGCATTGGCCAGCAGTGGATCTAGCTTGGAACTGGTTCCATGAGCAAACACTTGTGGCAGCTTCTCACAAAAGTCACCTGTGTAGACCCCCCTCCATCAAATCCTTTCCATATAAACCCTAGTGCATGTGTACGTAGAAGATCTCAGTCCAGGTTCCTCGCTTGAAAACAATCTCATGGAGGTAGATTTCATTTAAAATTCTGTCTGCATCTTATTTATGTTTCTTTCTTTGTCGTTCTTCTTTCCTTCAACTATGAACAGATGGAGAACTTTCCATACCAAATGAAGATGCAGCTTTGGAGAATGGGCAGCCTCTGGGCTCCGGACTGAGCTCTAGCCAGGTGTCCCTGCCAGCTCTAGCAGAACTGGAGTCAGTCCCAGCATCCGTGGAACCCTGCTCATATGAGGTGCTCCCGACCACAGAGATCATGGATGGGACAGGTAACATCTCGTTTATGTTACGGTGTAGATACTCTAAGCTGTTTGAAACAAGTTTTTGACTTCTAACATTTTTTGTTTAGCCCTGAGAAATTCTTGTCAAAATAAAGGTCTTCTGGCGTAGAAGGAGTTGACAGCATAGAGATTGAATGTTCCACGAGAAATTTTGACTGACATAAGTAACCTCTACTTCTAAGCAAGTAACTTCACTTGGAGTAAGGCAAAACCCCTTCACTTTGTAAACATATAAAAGTAGGTTTCCAGCTCTCTGTCTGCATCTCAGATGTGCCAATGAGCTTTAGAGCAGAGACTTTACAACACATTTGAACCCTGGGATACAACAACATCATGCCCTCTGCCTGCCACGTGGTACTGTGTGATGTTCCCACGACACATCTGTCAGTAACTAACACAGTCAGCTGCCCTACCCTGGGTGAGGCTGGCTGCTCTTCTTCCCCAGCCTGTGCAGAGACAGCAGTGCTCTACATCTAGCTGAGCTCCTCTTTCTGTGTCATGTTGTGCTGCTGAGGGTTGTGGACAAAGGTCAAGTGAGGAAAAGTGAGCAGTAGAAGTTGTCATCCATGATCTTGCACTGCTATGCAGCCTTTTCAAAAGAGATTAGGCCCCGTGAGGTACCTTCTGCTTTTAACAGGATAAGTTTACAAGCTGCCTGCTAATACACCTGGTCCTAGGCAAGCTGTGGTGACAGACCGTCAGAGAGGTGACATTATAAAACCTGATTTGTGTTCCAGATGTGGGAGTACATCCCAGCCTGACATGGGGGAGCTGGCTTCTGTCGGAAGTAATGGGAAATTTGGCTGTTGTGTAGATGTGTGTTACTCTTTCTCTTTTACTTTCTTTCCTTCCTTCTTTCCTCCTTTCTACATTATATGATGTTCGGGTGAAATCTATGAGTCATTCCTAATCTGCATTGCTGTGCTGCTTTTCTCGTCTGACTTCGGCTGTATCTGCTGCTGCTTTGCTCGTAACGTTGTTGCGTCTATGATGTGGTTGTGTCCTCCAGTGTCTGAAGAGAGCCCCACATCCAATGAATCCGGCGTCCTCCTGTCCCAAGATCCTACAGCTAAGCCAGTCCTGCTACTTCCCCCCAAAAAATCTGCTGCTTTCCCTGGAGACCATGAGGACACCCCAGTGAAACAGTTGTCCCTCCTCAAACAGCCCCCTGCCCTGCCTCCTAAACCTATTGCCAGGATTGCCAGCCACTTAACTGGTAAGTAGGTATTCCTGGACCCTCAGCCCCACCGTTTCCCTTATAGGAAAAGCTGCCTTTGTAGCAAGGTTCTCAGTGTTCTTCCTCTTTCTGTAATGCTGTTTGCACTTGTTGTGTGTTCTGGTGTACGTGTTGTACCTAGGGCAGGGATCGCGAAATCTTCAGACTGCACCTTCATCAAGGTTGCTCCAGGGGCACTTCCCCTCTCAGCTGTAATTACCTAAGACCGCTGTGGCATTTCCTAACCTTCCTCACTCTGATTCATCAAGACTTACCATCACCACTGAAATTGCAGGATGTGCTTTGATGGGAAAGGAAGTATCAGAAAAATACTAGGATATCTTTAAATGCCCTTAATGAGGAAAGGCATGAGAGTTGAGGGGAAAGGGAGAGTTTTGATTTCTCCTTTTGCTGATTGTTGCTTGTCCCCTCAACTGCCAGATAAGGGAGGTCCTCTGGCGCCCTGAAAACTCAGCTTCTAAGCTTGCTGACATAGTTTTCTAAAGACTTTCCCGGGACAGTAACTGTAAACATAGATATGTGTACATTCTTTCTGTTACATGTCTTGTGATGGGCATCTCTCATGGCCAGTGCCGTTATCCTGACCATCCAATCCCTGGCTGTGGTCAGAAACCTATAAATCCTGGGAGGAAAAATAAACTCTCTCTTCCTTTCACCACACCTCGAGCTGTGTCCGTGTGATCTATTCATCTTCAGCAGCAGCAGTCCTCCTCCACACACTCCGTATCTTTCCACATGCTTGTCTTTTCCTTGCCCCCCAATCCTTACATGGGTAATTCTGTCCTATGACTTCTTGCCATTTTGCCTCAGTGCTTGCATTGTCTGACAAAATGTTCTCCCTTTCCACTGCTGCTCTGACTACTCCCCTCCCACTGATGAGTCCAGCTCCAATTCCCAATGACCACGATACTGATGCCCTCCACTTTATGGTGCAGTTTAGCTCTCACTGCATGGAAGGTAGAAACAGTAAACAATACAAGGCTCTGTTTTGTGTTCCACATGTTTTCACAAGTATCCAAGCTCTTTGGGATTCAAAGTTCTAGGTGGATGTGAATGTGTCGTCTCCTCCTCCTCCTCCTCCTCCTCCTCCTCCTCCTCCCAGTCTCTCATTTGGACTGCTGAAGCAAAGGATGGCTATATTTATGCAGACCAAAATAGACTCCCTAAATGCTTTCCTGAACCTTTTGAACAGTCTGCTCATAACTGCAGCTGCTGCGCAGGAGGCAGCACCTCAGAGTCCTGAGCTGAATACAAGGTGTGGTTCATCTTTGTAGTGGGGCAGCTACCAGTTGTTCCTCGGGTTGATCTTGTGTTAATCCTGCCCTGATATTTTCAGAACTGATGTGAGAAATGGTCTGCCTACATTTATATATTGTAGTTTTTTTTCCAGACAGTTAATACCCATTTTATTCAGGTTTAAGATCTAAATCAGGAAAGAGCTCATTAGGAAAGAGCATGTTCTGGTTTTCTCTCATCTCTACGTAGTCTCTTCATGTTTCTGTTTGGATGACCACACTTTTTTGTCCTGTATAGTTTTGTACATTCTATGTGAAACCTCTTTACTTTCTTACCTTCCAAAATCTGCACATAATGTTTAGTATTTTGCCTTTTGCTACAAACTGAATGGGCAATCCTGCAGCATGCGAGGCCAAGTAGCAAATATTCATGGCTTCACCTAAGGACAAAACCAGCTCCCTATGATCTCCCATAAATCTCTGTCCCAGTTATAAGAAGTTGCTCAGAAATGAGGCCAACATGGAAGAAATAAAAATTTAGGAATAGCATAGGAAAAAACCTCAGCTACTAAATGTCCTCAATTCATAAGCCATTCTTTTGCAAGAGATAACAGAAGAATCAAAGGATGAGGGCTTCTTGAGTAGTTTTATTTTTTCTGCAGCTGCAAATTTTGTGTGAAGTAGAATCAGGCTCAAGTTATCAGCATAAGTGAGTTGCTTGATGGTGATGACTTTCCGATGAAAGCAAAAGAGAACTGTGACTTCTCTTACTTTGTGGTGGCCTTCAGTGATGTCTCATCTAGCACTATATAAAGTCTTGTATGTGTGTATAGATAGGCTCTTGTACATGCATATACAGAACCTTCAGGGTAAAGGAACAGAGATTCAAATTTAGTCATAGAGCCATAATTCAATTGACAGTTATTCCTGCTGGAACTGAAATCCTCGTTTACACATTCCTTATAAATAAAAGTATTCAGTTTGTTCTTAAGGGTCCATTTACTTTGGTGGTCCAAAGGATATACGTGTTGCTTAATGCCTTGTGTTCTCCAGTGGTAATTATATTAGCCATGTACAATCTTTGGAAATGAGCAATCAAGCCTAATGAAGCATCCTCCTCAGTAAGAAGCAGAATTAATGCTATTCTTTTTCTAATTACTCCAGAGACATCCTCAGCTTGTAAGAAAACAAGCAGAATCTGAATTCTAGTATTCAAAACAAAAACTTTTCAGTTCTTGCTGCATACACATTTTTCTACTGAAGAATTTTTTTTAAAGGTTGAAGGACAAATTAAGACATACCAGGCATGGCTAGTGGAGAGTGACAGAGGTTTAATGGTCTGGTAGCTCTGTTCAAGAGACTGTGAGAGGAAATGTGATCCCGTGAAGGGTTCAGGTACACATGTGAAAATGCAGAAACAACTCAACTTCTGTCTACATTTGTGTGTATGTGTACCTAAGTGTATCTATTTAATAGAAACATGTTTTATAAAAGCATATATTAAAAATCACTACAGACATGGTCAGAAGCAGGGGAAAAAAAAAAAGGAAAAATATTTTAAATACAAACCTTGAGGGAAAAAGTCAGTCCACCCCTTGCTGTGAAAATATTCCAAAGTTTTTTTTAAAAAACTGACTTGCAGGGCTTGACAAAGAACTTATTACAGGTTTTAGAAATGGAAAAGAAACATTCCTTTCCTCTGAAAGCAGTTTGAACCATCTCAAATATCTATCCACCTGTGCCAAGACAAAGATTGGCCTTTCAATTGATAAGAAATGTACATAAAGGAGCAGGCCTAAATAAACACATAAAAGCACATTTAATTTTGTGGAGAATGAAAAGGAAAATAATTCCATTTTAAAGGTGGAAGGAAGAGAGAATTGCCTCTAGCAAATATAAATCACACAGCCTTGGCATCCTTCTTCTCAAGGCTGAGGCTCTGTAGGGGTGGGACAGTATAGAAACAGGGCCAGAGCCAAGAGCAGACTGCAGGGCAGCCACTGGGAGTGGTGCCAACACCACTGCAGAAGATGCTCCGTGCTTTTCCTCATGCCATGTCCTGCGGTCTTGATGGTGCTGCTTCCACAGGGAACATCCCTGTCATAGCACTGGGTGTGGAAGGGCCCATATAACCCTAGAAGACAGGCAATTCTAGGAGAAAAACATGAGCCTTAACTGTTTTGATACCGTTGTTTCACTGCTCTGCGTGTCCCGTTGGCCAGTCACCTCCTGGTAAGCCTTCTAGTCGTTTTCAAGCATGATTAGCATTAGACTGATTAGTATTTAGTGATTAGTATTAGACAGTGTCCACAAGATAGAATTTCTTTCTATCTTTTCATTTCTCTGATTTTCACGTGCAGATCCCAAGCATTTAGGGCATTTCTAGCTTCCTTCACTGAAAATTTTGGAAGAATTGAAATAATCACCTGGGACCGAATTTAATTGGGGTGCTGGTGTTCAAGTCCTCAGCTTATCATAAAATCTGTAATAGCCAATTGACAGGAAGACTAGGCATGTCTGATTTGATAGACCCCAGTGTTGTAAAGTTCCCTTTGATCTTGATTCATTAAGCTGTTAATTTTCACCACATAGATAATGTTTTCTGAAATTAATTAGATATTTTCCAACAGAATCACCATAAAGCTCCTAAAACACCAGAGAACAAAATATGTGCCACTATGATGGGATCTCAGGAGCACCTGAGTCTGTTTGAGCCAAAATTTAGCCTAATATTAGAATAGGGTGTAGCTTTGGTTGTACCTGGCCACTCACCTATTCCATTTAAGCTTTTTGCATTCTTTTGCTTTCTTCATTCAAGATTTTGAAGAGACACATAGCACATTTCTTAGTTCTGATATTGCGCTTTCTAGTAATGTCTGTGCATAGTCAGAACTAATTTATAATTAGAGGCAAACATTTAACAGGGTAGGAAATGTTCAAAGTCCTCAAAAGGTGCTTCTGACAATGAAGACAAGACAAGAATGAGTTTTGAGAACATTAATGCCTGGGGTCCTGCTGCCTTGCCACAACACAGCTGGTAATTAGTGACAACTTTATAAAAGCTTTTGCAACTACAATTTGTCCAGTAAATACTCTGCAGTGTTTTGTAATGCAGTGGTCACATGTGTATCAGGAGACTCCTCTGTAGATGAGCCCAAGACATAATACAGAAGCTTCCTCCACTGTGATGTTACCTCCAGCTGCGTGCTCTGGCAGGCTACATTCTTGAAGAGAGGTTATATTCACGTGGAGACAATGGACAGTTCTCTCACTGTGTGTAAAGGGAGAAGCAGCAGAGCAAAAGCAGTTCTTCACTGGGTTCTCATGAAAACTGGACCCTGGTGCAGATTGTCCCTCTGTAATTCATCTCTATACTACTTCCTGCAGAGGAGTACCTATCACATACAGGCATCAGGAAATCTCATCTTTGAAACCCTCTTCAAGGCCCTGCACAGGAATTCATGCAGAGCTATACTTTTCAACCTTTGGGTTAATCATACCTTGCTTTTGTTTTCCAAATTCAACCTGAATCTTGGATGCATATGTGGTACAGAGGAACAGCAAGGAATTCCTGTCTCAAATCTTCCCCTGAAGACATGGCTGCAGATCTTGCTGTAGTCAGCAGGAGATGCATGACAAATCTTTGAGAACAGTTTTTGACTTTATGAATCTGCTCAAAAACTCATTGAAACAAGAAAAGAGACTCTCACCATTTAGGCACAAGTGATTACAGGAGAGAAGACC